ATTACACAAAACTAACGTTTTCGGCCCAATTTATGGGCCATCTTCAGGTTACCGTTGTTCGACTCTAATACAAAATCGAACACGTTCAAAATTAAACCAAATTAGAACATACGTTTAAATTAAACCAATAGAATAAGCATAACCAAACTAAAACAATAAATAATAAAAAACCAGTTATTTTGAGGTGAACAATTTAATTAAGGTACAGTTAGTTGATAATTACATTCCTAACCACTTATTTTAATAAATAACATTGGATTTCTGTAATTCAAAAATTATAACCACACTTTGTTATAAACGAGAGAAAATAGTGCCTTGGGACAATGAATTTTTTGTACCTTGGGACAGTCCCAAGACACAAGGCATTGCTTTTCTCAACTATTTATTTAATATTATGTTTCTGTTGGCCGCGAAGAAAAAGAATGAAGTAAATAAAAATGCTAAATGTGTTAAAAAGCGAGTTTTTAAGAAGAAAAAAGTTGAAGTTAGTAGCTCTGAGGATGAAACTTCTGTGATCTTAGAGAGTGACGACTCGTGTGATGAAGTTCAAGAGGAAAATAATTGTGTAGGATGCGATGAAAATTATTTTACTACTTCGAGCACAGAAGGCTGGATTCAATGCGTTACCTGTCGATTCTGGGTTCACGAAGATTGCACCTTTTTTGAAAATTACTGTCAGAAATGCGGTATTAATTCTAAAAAAATTAGTAAGTAGTAATGTTTGTGACCTATATTTGTAATGACTATTGTTTTCCTTAATACAAAAATGAGATTATCTTTGATTTTTAATCATTTAAATGCCTTCTACAGAACATTTAAGCTTTATACTTACCTGTATTTCCAGCATATGAAACATTTTTGTTAACTGATAAAGCTAATATTGTTATAAAGGAAAAGACTTGGATAAACTACTTTTTTTTTCTTCTGGCGGAAGTTAAGATTTACAAAAACGTTAGGGTTGTTCGTGTCCCAAGGTACAAACATTGGTGTCCCGAGGTACAATCCATGATTGTACATTGGGACAAATACCTGCAAGAATTATTTGATATTTTCTCATAAATAAAATAGCATAGAATCAAGTGTTGCACCATATATAGTGATGTTATCAATTACTAATAGAAATAGTCAATAGTCATAGCTAAAGATCAATTTGAACTTAAATTATGGTTTAAAGAAAAGTGTCCCAAAGTAGAAAGATCTCCCCTACAATGTTTTGCTACCGCCGAATTTGCATAATTATTACTTATGACCCGAATATGTTCTTTTAACCTTATTTTCAATACATTTTGTTTCTCCTATATATGTTTTTCGTGTTTACAATTGCATTCAAAAGAATATACTTCTATAATTTCATATTTTTTTAGTCATTTCAATAATATAAATATTTTTTGGTTGATTCTATTTTTTCGGGTATTATATTTATTTTATTACCTATTACTTTCTTAATTCTTTCGAATATTTTTGGTATATACATTAATTTTACAAAAATTTTTCATTTATCATATTGGAGAGGCGCGAACTCACCACCAGTGTTCAGTGGTTTTATAAAACCACTGGAATAATGGTGGTTGTGAGTTCGTGTCTCATCGACAGACTGGCCAAGTGGAGTTTTCTGAGTTTCTTCACGTATGTAACATCTAAATAGGGATCAATTTTCCATAAAAGTACTTCTGGAAGGTATCATTTTCGGCAGATCGCCCATACATCGCGTTGCAGTAGCCTAATAAACCAAACGAAGCCTCGAATAGCCTGAACAAACAGTCGATAATCGACTCCAATTATTGAAAATGTTAACTTAATTAATGCCCGATAACTATTTTATGCACAGATATAATTTCTTTCTAATACATTTTATTATTTAAGTATAGGATATGTGATGGAATCGGCACCAAAATTATATTTCTTACGGCACTATTGTGAGATATATTAGATGTGTGTATTTTTATGTATCTCTTCGCTAGTTACTATATTCGTGTAGGTCAAGTATTTCGTGTTCGTATATTATTTTGTAGCGTAATGTGTAGACACCTGTATTTCACGTCTGAAACCTGACTTCACCTCAAGAAAAATCGAGTATGAACAACACGATCTCTCTCTTCGATTATTTTATTCCGCTGTTTATCTCTTGAGTATGAGTAGATTCGCGCATTAAAAATACGCATTATAACAGGGAAGACTATTTTATTATTACGAAATTAAAAACATTTTAAGCGTGTTAATATTCTTGTTTTGAAACCAAGTATTTATAATTCCGTTTTTATTGTTACAGATATTCATTCTAATCCTGATTCAATGTCATTATTTTCCTGGGAACAAGCTGACTGTTCTATAACGAAAAACTTCGATTCTATTCATCTTTAAATTAAATAAAACTAAAAAAATTCACAAATAAAGAACATACCAATATTTTTAAGAGGTCTGTTTATTAGATTTTAGTTTCACTATGATCAGTTGTGGTTGCGGAAAGCTATGCAAAGGACAACGTGGCCTTTCTATTCATAGAGCAAAAGGCAATTGTGGTAGCTCATCATCAGGTTTGTTCAATTCAATGTCATCAAATTATTATACTCCCTCATATATTTCATCTTCATCAAGTCATTATAGTTCATCATCGTTATTTTCGTCAAGTTCGGATATGGTAGCATGTGGTTCATGCGGAGGAAAATTTAAAGGACAACATGGTCTCGCTATTCATAAAGCCAAGAGCAGTTGCGGATCATCTTCATCAAGTTATTATAGTTCATCGTCGTTATTTTCGTCAAGTTCGGNAATATATTTTTTCGTACATAATTGGTTATCCGAAAAATAAGTTATCCGAACAACCCCAGTCCCCAATTGATTCGGATAAACTACGCTCTACTGTAGTTTCGAACCCATGGAGCGGCCGGGAGCGAGAGACGGAGGCAGACAGCCACGAAGAAATTCTAGTTGTTCTCATAGATTCGATCTTTGGTCTTTCAGAACTGTAAGGTGACCCGTTAAACGCAGTAATTCGGCTTCAAAGGTAGCCTCTGACGTTGTTATCTTATCACTTGACTCAACATGATTATCGAATTTTATTTTGTGTAATAAAAATATTAATTGTTGCTTAGATACTGAAAAATCGTAATAATAAGTAATTCGATGTTGAAAAGGATATCAGAAGCGATAAATTAACACAAACCATAAACTAAAAAACGCAAGGAGGAATATTTTTGCAGTTTTTTTTAAAATAAAAAACCATTAATTTAGCATTTTTTTTAAAATTCAGGCCTCCATTTTATTCCTGTTTCTTNAGTGGTATGGAAGCTGTGAAAACGTCGCCGCTTCCCTTGTATTTTCTACAACACAAATACATATCGTGCGATTATTTTCATATTTTAACGTGCTTTGAATTAATTAAAATTAATATTTTATTATAACCGCATTATGTATGTTATTACAAATTTCTATACATGTGAAAAAATAAGATTAAAATGTAAATTCTTGTATGCATATTCCCAATGGAAGCGCCATATTGTCGAATACGGGACAGCTTCCACGGCGAAACTACCTGAATCGTGTGAAGCAGCCATATAACAGGCATTCGCACTTTACAGAGCACCAATTTCACGCGGTTTAGCTGGTGGATGCTACACACCAAATTATCGTATAACGCTTCTTATTATTCCATCCATTAGCCACTCGTAGGAAGCTATTTGAATAAGCGCATTATTTTAAGATTTAAAAAGTAAAGAGCATTTTAAATAATAATAATAATAATAATAATAAATAGATGCCGTGACGTTTGTATTTTATAAGGATCTCAATAAAAAAATTCATGTTTAAAATGATTTAGATTCGGATTTTTAATTTTTTTTATCATTAAAATTTGTATTTTTATGACAATTATTTAATATATATATATATATATATATATTTTTGCATATACATTTATAAACTGTTATATATATAAAGGATTGTACAATGCTATAATGTTTAAATCTTTCGTACATTTGCTAATGAAGATAAATTTTTTACTATACAGTAATACCCCGAACTTACGCGATAGGTGGGACCGAGCGATAACCGCGTAAGTCGAATTCGCGTAAGTCGGGGTATAATTTTGCAATTTGTTTAAAATCTAAATCGGATGTATATAAGCTAATAAATGTTCTCGTTAATCTTATCTCGTCTTTTGATTCGTTCACGGTTACAAGAAATCACCACATAGAGTCTCTCGAGTCTCCGTAGATATAACAAACACAGAAATAAATAACACAAAATAAATTGTAGCTATGTGACGATTCCGCGCGACACGTCCGAACACGTAAGCTGAACAATAGTGTGGGGGGATTGAGTAATCAAGAGTTGCGTGGCGCTCAAACAAACGACGAATCGACGAGATTTGAAAATCGCGTAACTCCGGGTTCGCGTAAGTCGGGGTAGCGTAAGTCGAGGTATTACTGTATTACGATATACTGTACAGTATTTATATAAAATGAGTTGCTTAATTTTGAGGTTAGGGATTTTATAAAAGTTTGTAAATGTTAATGAGTAAAGTCTTCATTAAGTCCTACCCCTCTGGAGACATGACACGACATCTCCCACCCCCTCGACCATTAACTAATAACATCGATGCCCTTTATAAACAAGCTATCATCCCAAATTAGGTTTCTTAATCTTTACTCCATCCTGATAATAAAGGAAATAGACGTATAAATACATATCCACGGAATTTACCCCTTTTTTTGTTTTTACTTTTTTCAGTTCAGGAGTGGCACAATTCTAATATTTTTCCCTGTTTATGTATACATAACAGCCAGAATAGTAAAAGTTAATATTTCGTAAAATTAAATCAACAAAAATATATAACTTTTTATTATTTTATTTCATAACAAATTATTTAGAAGTACAGGAATTTACTCAAAAACTGAACATTTAAATCAAATAAATTTTACTTTGAATAGTCAACAACAACATTAAACAAGTAAAAAAAATCGTAATTTCAATTAAATAAAACGCAAGTGTATCAGTGTGTATCTTTGTTATCTGAATATGAAAGAAATGGACAGAAAAAAACATTATAAGAAAATGAAACATGATACCTAATGTTAACTTAAAAACATTTGCGATGCACAATGCATGGTCCTAATTCATCATATTCCTGTTTCGATATCCACATTTGCTGAAAAGTTGACAGAGAAGATAAAATCGAACCACCAATCCACACCGAATATTTTCTTTCCGGTGGAGCAATTACTTTAATTTTCATGGTTGTAGGTGCCAGAGCTGTTATTTCTTTCTGGATACGATCGGCAATACCTGGATACATTGTAGTGCCTCCGGATAATACAGTGTTAGCGTACAAATCTTTACGAATATCAACATCACATTTCATAATGGAGAAATAAGTTGTTTCGTGTATTCCAGAACTTTCCATGCCGACAAAAGACGGTTTAAAAAGTGTTTCGGGACAACGGAACCTTTCATTTCCAATTGTTATCACTTGGCCATCTGGTAATTCATAAGATTTTTCAATAGTTGATGATATGGCAGAATTTGCCATCTCTTGTTCAAAATCCAAAGCAACGTAGCAAAGCTTCTCTTTAACATCTCGCACGATTTCTCTCTCTGCTGGATAATTTAAGAATAAAATTAAGTTACTGTATTATTTTAAATCTGAGATGCACAAATTATTAAGGGTTTATTTTTATTTAGTTACTTAGTATATAATAAATTGTGACGATATTAATAGTCCTTTTTAATTTTAAACTTAGAAAATTAAGGAAACATAATCATTCCTGGACCATATTATTTGACTAACTTACCAGTTGTTGTAAAAGAATAGCCACGTTCTGTTAAAATTTTCATTAAATAATCAGTTAGATCTCGTCCGGCTAAATCTAATCGAATTATTGCATGAGGCAAGGCATAGCCTTCATATATAGGAACAGTATGAGATACTCCATCACCAGAATCCATAACTATACCAGTTGTTCTTCCAGAAGAATAAAGCGATAAAACTGCTTGAATTGCAACATACATGGCAGGTGTATTGAATGTTTCAAACATTATCTATGTTTAACAAAAAATTTCGTAAAAAAAGTAAACATTTAAATATCTTTTTTGAAAACAAATACGATCTAATTAAAAATTATTACAAAAATTAACAGCTCTAAAACATTAGAAAAATAGCTTCGAAATTTGATTACAGGTTTACTTATCATTATTATTATTTTACGTTTAATGCTTTTAAAATTTGTTTCTGTTTCTATAAGAATTTTTAAATAAATGTTTTCATGTTTAAGAATATATATATATATTTAGCCTTGTAATAAATAGGATTGCGTCAGGAAGGGCATCCGGCCGTAAAACCTATGCCAAAACTATATGGAATGTCTGCTAGACTACAAGTAAGTTATAACTGTGTTAGGACGTTCCCCCGAAGAGATGCACAGTCATGTCGCCCGAAAACTATGTCAAATGAGCTGGGACTACCGAACCAAGGACGGGTTCGGATAAAGAAGTTAGTTCAGAAAGAGAAGAGGAAGAAGTCAAGTATAAGAATAGATACTTTAAACATCGGAATATTGAATGGGAAGAGTAGAGAGTTGGTTGATCTTATGCAAAGGAGAGTGAACATTTTGTGCCTGAAAGAGACAAGATGGAAAGGAAATAAAGCTATGGAACTTGGTGAAGGGTATAAGCTGTTTGTGAATGGAGCGAATAAGGGAGGAAGGAATGGAGTTGGTATCGTAATTGATAAAGATCTGAAAAACAGTCTGTGAAGTTAAACGAAGGTATGATAGAATTATGAGCGTTAAGTTGGATGTTGGTGGAATTTTCATTACGATTGTGTGTGTGTATATATGCTCCTCAGCTAACAAGGAAACTGTCGGAGTGTCTTCTAATAAATTTTAATAAAATTTAGTTAATAACTACGTTAAAAGTATACAAACACTATTTTAAATTTCTAGCATTCACTAAAAGTGTTGATCAGAGTTATTAGCAATCAAATGTTGCACTACTTTATAGTAGTTTAACACAATTACGCAAATTTTTAGAAGTGAAAGGGCCGCGGAGAAAGACGGCGATATTACATTTAGAATAAATTCTGGAATTTTCAAAAGTGGTTGAAGAATTAATAAAATTTTGTATACTTTTAACATAATTATTAACCAAATTTTATTAATTCTTCTCCCATTTTTGAAAATTTCAGAATTTATTCTAAATGTAATATCGCCGTGTTCCTCCGCGGCCCTTTCACTTCTAAAAATTTGCGTAATTGTGTTAATCTACTATAAAGTAGTGCAACATTTGATTGCTAATAACTCTGATCAACACTTTTAGTGAATGCTAGAAATTTAAAATATAATTTGTATACTTTTAACGTAGTTATTAATTAAATTTTATTAAAATTTATTAGAAGACACTCCGACAGTTCCCTTGTAAGTAGTGGAGAAGAAGAAAAGACAAACTTTTGAACAGATCTTGACCAAGTTATAATGTGTTCCTATGAACGAGAGATTAATCCGTGGGGACGATTTAAATGGTCATGTTGGGAAGAGGAAGAATGCGGAAAGAAGAGTTCTTGGGAGGTGGAGTGAGGGAGAAAAGGAATGGAGAGGGAAAAAGACTAGTCGATCATGCTGTGGCTTTTGACCTTGCGCTAGTTAACATCTAACTTGAGAAGAAAGCGAATCAACTGGTTACATACATGAGTGAAGGTAGATTCATCCAGATTGATTTTTTCTTGTGCCGACATCGAGTGAAGTGAGAAACAGTAAGGTGTTAAATGGAGAAAGTGTTGCTGCACAACAGAGTTCTCCTGGTGGATTGTGACTTTCTTATGGACCATTGTAAGAATTGTGTTAGCCTGATTGAACAAAGGATCAAATGGTGGAGATTGAAAGAGGAGGAATTAAGGAAAGAGTTTCAGGTAAAAGTGTTAAAAGAAATCCAGTTCCCGGATGATGGGCAAACATGGTGGTTGCTCAATAGTAATTGCATTTTGAAAGTTGGAGAAGAGGTTTTGGGAAAAACTTCAGGGAAGAGATCTCCAGAAGGAAAGGAACTTTGGTGGTGGAATGCTGAGATACAAGCCGCAGTTAAAAGAAAGAGGCAAAGAAAAGGTGGGATTTGATGGGAAGGCCAGAAGATAAGGAAATTTACCATTTGGAAAATAAAATGACTAAAAAAAATGTGGCTATTGAGAAAGCAAAGGCTTTAGAAGAGACTTATAAAGTTTTCGAAAGGAAAGATAGTGAAAGGCAGTTGATGAGAATTGCCAAAGCAAGAGATAAGGCATCAAAAGATTTTATCTCTATTAAACTGATTAAAGATGATAAAGGAGTGGTATTACAAGGTTACGAAAGAGTCAAGGAAAGATGAAAAGTATATTTTAGGAATTTATTGAATGAAGAAAATCTCAGAACTTTATACGAGAATGAAGAGGCAAATATTATCGTAGAAGAAGTGGAAAGTGTGCTTAGGAAAATGAAGATGGGGAAAGCAGTAGGCACTGATCGGATTCCGGTTGAGGCTTGGAGAGGTTTGGGTAAGGAGGGAATTGATATCCTCTGGGACCTTATGAAGAAATTCTGGCAACAGATATCCCAGATGAATGAAGGAATTCTTGTGCCGATTTTTAAAGCTAAAGGAGATGTACAGAATTGCGAAAATTACGGAGGTATAATGATATTGTCCCATACTATGAAGATTTGGGAGAAAACTGTAGAAAGAAGAATTATGCAGGAATCTGAGATTGGAGAGGAACAGTTTGGCTTCTTGCCGGGAAAGATTACGACTGATGTTATCTTTGCTCTAAAATAGCTGATGGAAAGGCATAGGAAAATGCAGGAAGATTTGCACATGGTGTTCATAGATCTAGAAAAGGCGTATGATAGGGTACCAAGGCAAAAGATATGGAGATGTTTGAGGAAAAAGAATGTTCCAGAAAAATATGTTAGGCTCGTCAATGAAATGTACGAGGGAGCAGAGACCCAAGTTAAGAATAGTGTGGACACTACAGAAGAGTTCTTTGTTAATGTTAGTTTGCATCAGGTCCGTTATCAGGTCAAACAAATAAGGGCTAAGAGCCCTTATTTGTTTGACCTGATAATGGACGTGATGGTGTTTGACGTGAAGTGTGAGGCTCCGTGGAGTATGCTGTTTGCGGATGATATTGTACTGTGTGAACTTTCCCAAACCAAAGCTGAGAAGAAACTGGAAGATTGGAGGAAAGTTTTGGACGAAAGGTGCATAAGATTAGCAGAACTAAAACAGCTTATATGACTCTGAATGGTAGAGATGAGTGTAATATCAAAATCCAAAATGTGCCGCTCCCTTTTGTTCCGAGTATTAAATATCTTGGGACATTTGTCGAAATGGGAGGATGATTGAACTCGGAGCATAGGTGCAGCATAGAATTCAATGTGGATGGATGAATTGGAGGAAGCTGAGCGGTGTGTTATGCGACAAGAAAGTTAGCTGCAATCTGAAAGGAAAATTGTATAAATCAGTTGTTAGACCTGCAATGTTATATGGAGTTGAGACATGGACAATAACAAGAGTCCAAGAAAGAAAGATGGAGGTGACGGAGATGAGAATGTTGAGATGGATGTGTAGAATGTCAAGGAAGGATAGAATAAGGAATAATTTTATTACAGGTTCTGTTAAGGTGGGTCCCTTGAGCAAAAATATGCAAAATTGTAGGTTGAGGTGATTTGGTCACGTAGAGCGAAGAAGTGACAATTATGTTGGAAAGACGATCGGAAAACTGGTAGTAAAAGGAAAGAGAAAAAGAGGAAGACCAAAGATGCGTTGGAAAGATAAGATGGGAGAAGACTTGAACCAGGGGGACTTAAGAGAGAAGAAGCACTTGATAGGGAGAAATAGAAAAAAAACATATTAGAGAAGGAAACGCCGACCCCATATAAGCATGGGAAAAGGCGAAGAAGAAGAAGAAGTTAATCTATACTAATATTATAAAGAGGTAATGTTTGTATGTATGTATGTTAGTTTGTATGCAGCAGGTAATCTCCAAAACTACTCATCCGATTTCAAAAATTTTTTCACCAAGATTTAGNGAAACATGTGTTGAGAGTTTGAGAGGAATAAATTAAATGTTGAGAATGACATGAGATTGGCGTTAACAAAAACTCACCCACGAATTTTGAAACTGGTTAATAACATGCGATTTCAACCATCGCATTAAATTATTAAACAATTTAAAATAAAATTATAGTAAAAAAAACTAATTTCGTTGTTTTTTTAATTACCTTATTAAAAATGCCTTTTTCAATTGTATCGGGTTCGCGGGACACTTGGCTTTCATAAAAAGGGGTCGCCACCTGAAAAAGGTTGGGAACCGTTGCTCTAATAGATGTGAACTAAAATTTTAAAGTTCAGAAGTGGGAAATATTGTATATTTCATGCATGTTATCTGCTAAGGTCATGCTTTTTCATCATTCTTGTTGTTTATTTTTTATATATTTATATTTAAATCTGACACATATATGTTAATTTTCAATGTTGAAATATGTCATCTTTGTCAATTTTCTTTTTAATCTGTAGAAGTTTGACATGTGCAGTTAAAGGGTTAGGATTCTAAAGCATTAAAATTTTTAAATGCAAATTGTTCCAGAGACAGATTTTGTTCTTATTTTTAAATTGCAATCAGGTTTTTTTTTCTGAGGAAGAGCATTTAAAATGACTGAAAACATTAAACAAAGCAAAATTCCCACTGCATTTAAAGGTATGAGTGGTTGTTTTTGTAGTTTTATGATGAATGCGGTTTTACTGAATAGTGTTTTAATAGTTTTTTTGAAAGGATAAGCAAATATTATATAGGAAAAACTGTTTTGCAAAAAGGATTTTATTTTTTCCTCTATAAATATTATATAACTAGAAATTTTGTTGTCAAGCATGACAGAATAATTTTTATGCAAAAGTAGAGATTGAAGAATTGAGAAGAACTTCAAATCAAGCTTGACGTTGTGATGCTGTTTTTGCAGCCCTTGACAAAGCCATTCTTACTCAACGTTGCTTAAGTCATCCTTCACAGCCTTCAGGAGTCTCTCTTGTTTTTATTCTTTTAGATCTAGAATTTACCTGACCAATTTTACTCTTATGCTTTCCCCTAGACTTTTTTTTTTTCAACAAAATAGCAAGTATTTTTAAATCCACATTGATAAAACAAAGATGAATTGTGTGTAGCCTACATTAGTTAGATGAGTGATAACACTTTCTAAATACTGGGCTCATTAGATTGTTACTTCCGATTGGATAATAGAATGTCACATGGTCACTATGGAAAGATTTTTTTTAAAGAAGTGATCCAATGCAGCTATCATTTTAAAGTTTAAATCAGGGGTGTCCAACCTTTTAGTTTCTTTGGGCCGCATTGGAAGAAGTCAAGGAGTTTTGGGCCACAAGTATATATTATATATACTTGTTGCCCAATATACAAGTATACTAAAGGATTAACACATCTAGATTATAATAATAAGTATTAAATCTTTATCACAAGAAAGGATATTTCAAAAAATTACTTCTACAGACACTTTCAATTTTACTTAGAAATAGACAAATTCATCTATATATATAAAAATGAATGTATGTCTGTGTGTCTGTCTGTCCTTCATGCATTACTACACCGTTTATCCGATTGCCGTGAAACTTTGGGAAGTTGTTTAATATACTCCGGCGAAGGTTTGTGGCATAGTACGATTGCCAT